AAAGAGCAGCACTGACTTAATGCTCCTGATCTTCATCATGACAGGTATGTATTTTTCTTACATATCCATCTAGCAGTTTTGTAACTTACTACTCAGCACACTCTGGTGTATGTATTGAACCAGGGTATCACACAGGCCACAATGCACAGTGCACAGAAAGCTGGCCTAATCAGCTGACCCAGGATGCCTCTGAAACTGCCCCAGCAAGCAAGAGCTTTAGAATGTACCGGCCCAGAGGTGCAGCTATTGAGACACTGATTGAAAACAGGACACTACATTATGCTGTGAAAAACATTTGAAGACCTGTTTCTGTGATCCAATTATTTGTAATGGGCACAAACTAGATCAATCCACTCTTCCAAATAAGTTGTTATGCATATTATTTTTACAGTAAAACAACAATTGGATGCTACTAATTCTGCTGGTCCTTTAAGCCAAGGAAAACGTGGAAGCAGGGAACACCACCTTCAGTGTAAGATAAACTACTGCATTAACCACTAGCACTTATTTTTCACCCACTGCACCCCATTCACTTAAACAGTGTTGGAGGTAGTAAGGATTTCCTTGTTACAATTAGTTTATGTTATTAAAACAGAAATAAGAAATGGAGCAAAAAAGAGCATAATAAAGGGCCAAGGCCAGAAGCAGCAAGTACAAATAAAGGAACGAAATACATGGGTTTTCTTAGCTTTGAATTACTGAGGAATGTACAAAGACTGATCTAAGTCAACCCTTCAACCATTTGTATCAATAATGCTCTAAAACCGAAACCAAACTAAATTTCCCCTTTGTAACATAACTACCTATTTAAACTCAGTAAGAGACAGAAACAGCTTGACATATTTTAAACTAAAAGCCATCAGTCAACAAGTGATCTCTCAACAGACATCTACAATCTCTTCCTATTTGTCCTTATGCTTGTTCTTTGCTATGCTGTGCCACAGCCTCAATGCTTCCCTTCTGTTGGCTTTGTGGAGGGCTTCTGGGGTATTCTCTTTACAGAAAGATACAAACCAAGTCCTGGTCTTCCACTTTCTGAGGCTACACTCAAATAAAAGGCTGGTTTCCAAGTATGCACACAATCTCCACAGTTTCCACTGTGCTTGCAACAGAAGAGTTAAACTAAACTCTCCCAACCCACAACAACAACAAAAAAAAGCTTAGCTAAGTATTTTCAGGACATCTCTTTCTGTTCACATCTGACATCCTCTCACTGCAACACAGTATCTCATCTATGAATACTACCACCCAACACAGGAATCATGGGTGCTGCCTCTTCAATTACTTTGATCAGTAGGGCTTTCTTTTGGAGAAGACTGTATGGTAGTGTTGCAGGGCTCTTTTAGGAAGAGCAAAATCTGTTTCTTTGAGATAATTAATTATTCCCTGTATTTGTCCTACTGTAAAACCTTAAGAAATGTGTTCCATTACTGGAACTGTATCCAGTTTCTACCATTTGTTCTATGTTTTGTGATCTTTCCTGTCCCTGTGACTTTAAAGCCACAGGTGTCAGGGACATCCATGGATGAAAGTTATTCTATTTATGTAGCTGACTCTCAGTACCTTAATGGCTTTTTTAAAAAAAACCAAACCAAACCAAACCAAAAAAACAGAAAAGAAAAAAAAAAGGAAAGTAGGGTCAAAGGCCTGAAATATAATAGTGGCAGTTAACTAAGCACCAGAAAGTAAGCCGTATGTGGCAGGAGAAACCCAAGCCACAGCCAACTCTCAATGGTTTAACTCCGAGCTACCTGAAGACAGTACTTGAGCTTCACAATCAGATAGAGTCAATTAATCTATCCTTAGCTGGATGTAATGAAGGCAAGGGTCGACAGGGTACCTTATCTAGGAAGTAAGTATGTTTCTTCCAATGTGTGAGATGAATAAGAGAGATCATGGGAGATCAAGAAAGATAACCACTGATACTACTTTTTTATTTATCTGTGTTTGCTAGGCAATTAATAATGGGTTGCAAGTCAGACTGAAGCGACATCATGATGACAAACAATCAGCTTGTGTCTGACCTTTTCACTCCAAAAATGTCTATGCAGTCTGACATATTTTTTTGGTGGTGGTAGAAGAAATGGAGAACAAGATACACGGCCAAACACCATCTCGTGAACACTTGACAGATTAACCATATGTTCTTGCTTCCTCTCTCCTATTAGTGGGGGAAGGGTAGCACCTTGGGGCCCCAGCTGAAGGTCAAAGAAGAAACCATTCCCTGTCATGACTGGTATACAAAGTGAAGCTTTGTAAATGCTGAATCATCAGCTCCTTCTGGATCAGATGTGGCCTAACAATTCATTCTATCAGACTGGAGAAGTGGAGGAGGAAAAATAAAAAAGTATTGTGGCAATTCAACTAGCACTGTATGGTACATTTAACTACGCTGACTTCTCTCCCAAAATCACCACTACAGATAAGTGGCAGTGGTATTCTGAATGAATCATTGCTACTGGAGATCCTTGAAGCCAAGAAAGAATATTCCTCACCAGCCAGTTTCTGAATCATCCAATATTTCTAACACATACATGCAAAGTGAGGTTCTATATACACCAAGGATTTCAAAATTCATCTATTATAATATAAATGCTTTCAGATTGAGAAAAACTTTCAAGAGGTCACATACACTATAACTGAGAAATAGCAGTTCTTCTCCTTTATGATCTGAATTTCTACCACAAAAATTGAAATAGTTTCAAATTTACAACTTACATTTCAAACCTTAGAGAGCACACAGTATGGTAAAAAACCACATTAAAAGCAAATGAACCTGCATTTAGTACATTTCCTTTCTAGCTGCTACTGAGAAAGGGAATGATTGGTACAATCACCAAAATAGGCTAAGCATTTGTTAAATCCTAATGACAGTTCTGAATACAATCTAACACTTTAGAATCCATGAATCTTACAGGTGACTGGAATATGTTTTGCTTTAAAGAGTCCACTACCATACCTAGAAATAACATTAGCAGATGTAGTATGTTACAAGGACAGACCTGGACTAAAGTAAAGACAACATAAACAACAAGTAGCAAAAAAATACCCAACCCACCAAGAAACATATGGCTATATGTCTATATATAGAGAGAACATGTATTAAAGTAGACACATATATTTCAGCTATTTGGAGCACACTACTGGGTTTTTTGTTTTTTTAAATCCTGAAGAATTCTAGAATATTTTACAGCATACAGACAGACTATCACATAATTAAAAAAAAAAAAAACCAAAAAAAAACTGTCCTAGCAATTAACAGGATTTTTTAAAAATGAATATGCATTCAAATCTCTAATTACTATTATTGTTGTTTTAAACATAAGCAGGATGTGAGTAACAAGTGACTAACAGTGCTGTTGTGCAGTTTACCACTGTATTAATGAGATTAAAAGAACAATGACTAATAATGCAAGGTGTATTCAGATGCAACACTGACTACTTTTTCCTTTTTTTTTTCTTATTTATACACCTCTAGACCTACATAACAATAACAACCACTGCTCAGTTAAGATTGGCAAAATATAGTGATGGAGAAAGTCTAACTGGTCTTAAGAGGCCTTTTCTGTACAGAAATCTTAGTAAGAAATTCCTTGTGGAGTTAAAGTTCCTATAATCCCTCATCATCCACAATTGATAGATATCATTAATACAAAGCCAACAGGCAAAAGAGACAGACTTTGAACACACTGAGAACTGTTCATTTAATGTTCTTCTAAGATTTTCTCCATATAACATAAACATACAAGGTAAGTCACTAGTTCATCCTCCTCAATTTCTACTTTACAGCTGACAGGACTTTATTTGTACTATGGTGAGCTCATGTTAACATCTCAAAAGTGAGAAGAACTTGGAGAATTTGAAGTTATACTAGTCATTTATTCAGACATATTTCCTTCCAAACTGAAATTTAACCTCTGAATTTCAAAATTAAAATAGAAAACCAAAATTGTAGCACACATTCAAGAACAGTTGCAGGAAAGGTTGTTAATCTTAACTCAGGACTGCAATTAAAAACTTCTCAAAATCATCCACAGCAGCAATAATGCAAGAATTGTAAAATTATTTATCCTAGGAAACTATAAAGCCAGGTACAGAATGACCCAGAATTGAGTAACCCTTCACTCTTCTGCAGATTCAGTTAGTATAGTATAGCTGCAACAAAATAAATACATCCTTCACACACTGAAATTCCTAATTTTCAAAATATTTCAGCAATATAGTTCTAAGAATACTATCTTACTGCTCAAAGTCTCAGAGTCTTTTGGCTTAAACACCACCCTTAACATTACCAACAGGCCTGCTGGGATCAACATCTCACCTCTAATGCTTGTTAAAGACACTCAAAACTATCCCTGAAAACATGATGCAGCTTTGGAGTGTATGTGATTTCCTTTCAGATAGAGTTTACCTAGTGCTTACAATGTTTTGTGGACTAGAACAAGCTTCTTTTCTCTGGTGTGGTTTCTACTACACCAACAAAACCAGCAACAACAAACCACACATTACTGTGAATAAGCAGCAAAGCACAACTATGGTAAAATGACCCTATTTCTTATGGTCAAGGCCAAAGAAGAAAGAGACTGCAACACACTGATGTAAGCAGATCCACAGAAATGCACAAAGCCATCAGATACAGGTCCAGCACTGGCACACATTATGTGCAAGCACATAATAACGTTTTAACCATTAATTAAAACCCATCTTGAAATAAGAGATCACGCTACATTAAAAGTTAGAACACATCTATTTCTTTTTTTTTTTTTTTTCCTTTTACTGCTCAGCTTTTTCTTTCCATCGAGCACGTTTCCACGACACCAGGGCACTCGGAGATTCCAGAAAGGCTCCCAGCGGGACCCAGCACTGCCAGGCGCAGCGCGGACACCCGCGGGGGAGGAAGGGGCTGGAGAAGCAGGAGCCGCCACCGCGATGAAGACGAAAAGGAGACGGGCCTGAAGCTGTAGGAGGACTAGGGGTTACCTCAAACGAGAGCTGCTTACCTGATTCGTGACCTGAAAAGAAAGCGGAGAACAGAGGGAAGTTAACACTGCGGTCCCACCCGCGCCCCAAGACCTGCCCTGCCCTGCCCTGCCCCGTCCCCTGCCGCAC